AAGCAAAATATAACTTCTTTATTATTTTTATAATTTCTCCGTTTAAATTAAAATATTAAATTATTGAATATCAATTTCATATACTATATTCTAAAATCAAAGAACTACTAATCAGGATATAATTAAAGAAATAAGAGTTGATGTTGCTTTTGGAATAATCCACCAATTTCCTACTTTAAAAAAAAAAAAAAAATTTGGTTGGGAATTTTTTCTGTTATTCGCCAAAATTACTCCTTCGTTAACTAGAATAAATCATTAAATAGAAAATTTTATAAGAATTAAAACAATGTTATTTTTAAGATTAATATGCAGTCAGGAAATTTTATAATTATTATTTACAATATATTTATCAGAAAAACTCATTATTTTTTTGCATTTTTATCTTAATACTACACTTAAATAGAAATCATAGTAATCATTTCTAAGTAATTTTTGGTATTTAAAAAGATTCNTCGTAATAGAACACTTAAATAGAAATCATAGTAATCATTTCTAAGTAATTTTTGGTATTTAAAAAGATTCTACAATTGAAATATCCAGAACTGAATTAAATTTAATGATTTACTTTAACTAAAAAAAAAAAGTTATTATTTTGAATCCCTCTTGTGGGCACGTTAAAGGTTAGATTTATAAAAAAAAAAACCAAATGATAGATAAAGACATGCATCTATATAAAAAAAAATTGTACTGATTTGGTTATTTTTGATAAAGTTTAACAGTTAACAAAGTTATAAGTTTTATACACTATACTACAAGGAACTTTCATCAGAAACAAAAATATAGTATTCTAAATCAACATTTCGCGTTATTTTCAAATGTGCAATTAGACTATTTCTATCACTTTTAAGTTTTAATATTATTAAAAAATAGTATTTACATATAAAAAAAAAATAATTAAGAACAAAAAAAATTGTTTGTAAAGATTGTTGTAAATGTTTATAATAAAAAAAAAATTTATTTTACCATAACTTTTAGCTCAATTGGTACATAAAAAGTTTGACATTGACATCATTAAATAGAAAATTTTATGACAATTAAAAAAATTGTATCGTTAAGATCAATATGCAGTCAGAAAGTTTTATAATTACTATTTATTGTAAATTTATCAGAAAAGCTCAATATTTTTTTGCATTTTTATGGTAATAGATAACTTAAATAGAAGTAATAGTAATAATTTCCTAGGAACTTTTGTTGTTTGTTGAAAAGATTCTATAATTGAAATATTGAGAACTTA